ATATCTTAAGCAGTCTATTTGATGCAGGAATTTTCAGCTTTCTAGACTGAAAATACAGTAAATACTACCAAACTCAATTTAAGTGATATGTCATTCTCACAGACATCATACCTTTTTTATGTCCCCCTTTCAAAGCAAATTAGAAATAGTTACTGCACAATTTAAGGCATGATTAATACACAGTTTCTAAATACATAAACACTGGGTATGGGAGTTGAAGTCAGCGTTATCAAAATAATTTACGATACTATATATTATAGTACTCAGTAGTAAATGTATTGTTCCTCAAATTATACATACATGCACATTAACCAATCGTGCATGTATCCCTTAGGCTCTCTGAAAGCATCCTGCAGCTCTTTTTAGTTTTTCAGCCTAATGAAGATTGTGACATTCACAAGGAGCCGGGAGAGCCACACATTCTCTCTATTGAGATAATCTTCTTAAGAGAGATTGTAAGTATCTCTGTGAGGCAGTGAAACCTCAAAACAACCTATCTTCCCAGGAGCAGAAGCAGCAGTGGGTGCATAAAAAGTTGTTTTGCAGTATCTGTAACCATCCGAAATCTCTAACTTAGCAATAAACATTTTTCAGAGTACTGTGATACAAATACAAGAAGGCATTTTCTTGTAACCTATTCAATCTGAAGAGTCCAGCTGGACAGCTGAAACACCAGGCACTAAGAAATCATCTATCCACCAAATAAAATGCACACTCCAATGACCTATTAAGTCATTAAACTGAATATGAGATGCTACTTTTTATGTTAAAAAACTGACATAAAAATACATAAACCCAAAACTTCTCATTTTTTCCCCAACATAAGTGTCAATAACAGCAAAGAAAATTCTTTCACCAGTGCAATAGGTATGAACCTACCAGTTACTTCTTTATAATACAGCAAACCACGACTTTAGATAATTGTTTTAAACTTTAGTCAGTGTTTCTCAAACTTTTAGGAATCGAGACCATTCTTCTGTCTTCATTAGCAGTGTTTCTCAAGGGAGTGGCAACAGGGAAGAAGAAGAAATGCCGATATAGACCACAAACTATTGCCTTCAAGTATCCTTACTGTTTTCTCTATGACAGCAGCAGCATGTTTTCATCAGGAAAGGGTACTGTCACTCAGAGAACCGTTCTGTAGGTACCGACCTCGCACTCAACTCCTGTTAAGTAGCTTCTACAGTTATTAACCAATATTACTATTTTAAGTACTGACAACTCTTACAGAGCAAAATCTGAAACTAATTAAGAAAGCAACCCAGAAAATATCAAAAGAAAAACCCAGTTCTTTTCCATAGCAATTGTAATTCTCTTATCTAGCTATAGAGACACTGCAAAACAGCAGGCAAATTTAAACGCATATGAAATAATACAGCATATAATCCAGCAGTGAGAGCCTGCAGTTAAGTGTAACCTGCTTCAGGTATAGCTATGTGTACCACTTCCCATTAATTATTCCTTCATGAAAAACACCTGCTCATGGTTAAGGAGACTAGAGAAGCAGCAGAAGTGGAAGTAACACTTCATGACTATCAAAACCCATGCCAACAGGGAAGGAACCTGCATGACTAAGCAATGTGGTACTTCTCTGTATGTTGAGAATGTCCATTTTGTACCTGACTGGTAAGCATTTCATGTGCCATTCAACTGATTCCATTTACAATGCAGAGAGAGAGCTGTCCACAGAAGTGCATCTTCTGGTTGGTCAATGTCTCATTCTTAACCGCCCTGCTGGGCTAATACTTTTGTTCATGCAGACTTATGTACCACTACAGATGGATCATACACATCTTTACCAGTATACTCTCCTGGACCCTATATGCACATCTTGCTCACATCATCTAGAAGTTTTTGATGCAGCAATCCAAAGATGAATTCTTACTTCACCAAAGCGCACGATCAAGCATTCTTAAAATGTGTACGACAAAAATTGATATTCCAGTTTATATATACTTCAGAAGCTACGCTTCATGTTGTTCCCACACTTGTATCCTAACATACATAGCGGGATTCAGATAATCCTGCTAATTGCTAGTAAAATAAACCTAGCTTTCCAAGTCCTGTATCTTTCACTAGCATATATAAGGCAAAATGTAGAATCTGGAATTTAACAAGAAGGATCACAAGACCAACTGAGTGCTTCAGTTAGCGCATTTATGAACTATATTTAATGCATCATCTTTTTAAAACTAATGGACTTGCTAAGACCACATCCTACATGAACTGCTTCTGAACAGTTTGGATGAAAGAACCACTACCAAGCCAGGTTAATTCCTTCACTATGCAACAGAGGAAAGGCTTGAGTCCTTGCTAAAACCAGAAAGATGTCACCAAACAAGGTCTCTTTGACCACAGGGCCCAGTTAAGACCTGCAAAACCACTTACCAGGGCCCTAGTTTGGTCTGTAGACCACAGCATGCGAGTCACTCCATTAAAACCTCCAGAAGCTTTTCAATTCCATCCCTGAACATATAAAGTAAAAAAAATAAAATTCAAGCTGTGATTTCAATAAAAACACCTGGAAGGAGCAGTCTACGCTCGTTCCACAACACAAAAATTATGTATGTACAGAGTTCATAGGCATAGCGAGTCAACTGACAAAGGGCACTGCAATGTTTTAACTCAGTCCGCAAGAAACATGTATCTGAAAGCAGGTGTACTACACACACCGTTTCCAATTGAGCATGTAATACTGTAACGACAGTGAATCAGATTTCACTTTTTTCGAGTGCTGTAGAACTGGACAGTTGAACACCTCCTCATGGAGGAGCACTCAGAGTGCTATGCCTCTACTGTAGCACCTCTGAAAGCCAAAACAAAACAAAATGGACAACGCAATTTACACTATAATTCCAGGAACTTCAGAGCTTCGGCCGTCGCTTGAAAATACGAAGCAAGCTGCTGATGGGCGTTGTAAGACAGACCCCGGAGGGTTAGGGCAACAGAAACACCGGCGGTCACGTACATAACCTCTCCCAGTACAGCTACCAAACGCGGCCGAGAAAAACTGCGGGCTGAAACCCAGAGAAACCGAAGCCGAGCGCTCGCTCGACGCCAGG